TAAAATGAAATATTAAAAACACGATGTATCTCGCTGCATTGCGCGAGTACTCTTCTAGTATATATATATGGAGGTTCAAACGAGAACCCTTGTAATTTATGAGAACACAAGAATAATTCAATAACCTCAAATTTTTTTAATTAATAAATTAACTTATATTAAATATAAATAAATTAATAAGAACAATAATGTAATTAAGTAATTTTTATAATTTTTATTTTAATTAATTATAATTATCTTTTTTTTTTCCTGTACGTTCGTTTTCACTCTCTTTTCTTCCCTTGTGATAATTGTGTGATTGTGTAACCATAAACTATCAAAACCATGATCAATCGAGTGTAACCATAACATATCAAAACCATGAGTAATCGTTGTGATAAATGTGTGATTGTCTAACCCTAACCGATCGAAACCATGATCAAATTGAGTGCGCAAGTGATGTTATAATAGTGATATGACATAATTATCACACCAAATCATTTAGTGGATTTCGCTCGTAATTGTTGTGATAAATGTGTGATTGTCTAATCATAACCTATCGAAAACCATCCGAAATCGTTGTGATAATGTCTAACCTAACCCATCGAAACCATGATCGAATCGAGTGATATTGATATCACATGATTATCACACAAAATCGTTTAATCATTCACCAGTAATCGTTGTGATAAATGTGTGATAAACTAATTCTAATCGAATGAAAGCATGTTCAAATCGAGTAATTGTGAAATATACCTTTCCTGAGACTTTACGGCTTCTTTGTTCGTTGATTTCTCCTTGAAATCAACTTCTTAATTGATACCTAATAAAGATAAGGATAAATCACTCTAATTTTGAGGATTATAATGTGATCGTGTAATCGTGTTTAAGATTTTATGATGTTGATTTCCATTATTACTCTTTTGAATCTCAATTTCGTTTGAATCTTTTTAAATTTCAATTTTAATTTCAAAAATCTTTTAATTTTAATTATAATCACAATATGGAGTTAATAGGTTGTTCTCGCGTTTTCGTAAATCACAGAGGTTCTCGTTTGAACCCTTCCCTATATATATATATATATAATATTGCATTGTTGAAAGGTCAAAATGTAAACAATCAAAAAGAAAGCATCAAGATGGTGCAAAAAAAGGTGAAGGCATAGATGAGAAATCAAAGTTGATGAAACCCCGTTAAAAAGGCAGAAAATAGAAGAAGCAAACTTTGTTTATATATGTTATCATTTAGTTAAGATATAGTAGAATAAAATCTACCACCAACTTTAAGCAAACAAATCAGTGCTCCAACTACAAGGAATGTATGCTTTGTTTTGTTTGTTTACCTCTTAATCTATACTATCTTATACACGAATTCAAATATGAGATGAAATCGTTTAGGGATGAATGAGTTTAAGAGTTTTTAAGAATTTTAAGAGTTTTAGTCAAATGCTTTATAATATAGTATAGATAATAAGTTGTATTTTATGAATAATTTACTTGTAATTTTAAATTTTAAGTAATATGCATCAATAAACAATACTTCGTGCATAAAAAATTGTTTTTAAAAGTTTTTGTCAAATGTTTTAATATGCATCAATAAACAATACTTCGTGCATAAAAAATTGTTTTTAAAAGTTTTTGTCAAATGTTTTATAATATAGTATAGATTATGTGTTTTTAAAAAAAGCAATAATGATTTTATTTTTGAATAAAATATAAATTTAAAGATATCATAAAATTTAAAAAAAATAT